CCCCAAAACCCCAAAACCCCAAAACCCCGTATTAATGAAATATATTGCAGGTAAAGAAATAAATCAATGAAACAGAAGTATTAAACATATATAAAATTATCTTACTATCAATCCAGAAGGATTAAAAATGAAAAAAAGAAATAGCCAGGATTAGCATTAATTTGACTTTAGCAGTATACAGCAACTGCAAGGAGATATGGATCTCACTTACATATCAAAGATGCTGGAACAGTCTAGACAGCGAATTCAGCAAATAAGTTACATTGAGTAGAGATCTTAACTAGACTCAGACGTCACAAGTATCGAGGGTAATTATTAAAGCCATAACTTTTATAATTATCTCATTTAGATGAGCTAAATTCAGCATATAATGAGATAAAGGACAATGAGAAGTCAATGAAGAGCATACTTACTATTACTGAGTTCCTATTTGACACCTACTAAGAACTCTAGATTAAGATCGAAGAAGACTACATTAAAATAGAAGATTAAAAAAGAGAAATCGATGCTGAGCAATACAAGTCATCAGTTTATTAAGAGGAATTAGAACTTAAAAACAAGACTGTGTCATTTATGCAGCAAACTCAAAGCAATTTGGAGACCTAGTTGAAGTAAATCAAGGATGAAAATGTTAAACTTAAATCTCAGACTGTTTCCTTAAGTAGAAAATTAAACTCAGACGAGCACCGGATCCAGATGGATCTTGAGTAGGCCTAAACTGACTGCGAGCACTTGCAAAAACTAAATCAAGAATACTATGATAAGATTACTCATATGCAGAATGGAATTGAAGAGTACAATCAAACTATTGAAAAACTCTCATCCGACATGCAAAAGAAAGATCTAACTATAAACACATTGCAAAAGGAAAATGAGGAGCTAAATAAAAATAAAAAGAATCTTGCTTAGAAGGTTATGGAGTATCAACAGATAAATGAGGTTATGAGGAAGGATAAGAAGCAATTGGAATCAGAGAAAGCTGACTACAAGAAGAAGTTAGATATGCATCAAATGATATCTCAAAGCGCAGCATTCCTTAGTCAGGGGCATCTAGAAGACGATGATTCTCAGGAGAGTATGCACAGATTGAATGATTTAGAGGGATTCAATGATAGCTTCCAAGATGACTAAAATCAGCAATACTATCAGACTCAGAGAATGGAAACTCCTGCAAGAAATTTTAAATCTGAAGGACTAAATCAGTCTTTTGGCAGTGATGACTTCAATCAAAATGTTGTTTAAAATGTCAAGATTAATTCCTAGTCTGATTATATTGAGGCATACCAGTAAGCTTATGAGACATAAATCGATAGATAGAATTAATCAGTCATATCTTTGATATAACTGGATGTTCAAGAAAAAGTTGTTGATCTCAAAATCGTCAACAATTCTTTAAGAAAGCAGATTCAAAGCAAGACCTAAAACCAAGATATGGAATTTGATAAGAATTCAAGTTCATCTAAGTCGCCTATTGGCAGCAATCCATTTACTACAAATTCAGGCAAGCCTGATGCGAATAGAGATGTTATCAAGGAATTCTTTACTCTGGTAATGATTATATTGTAAATTAACTTTTTATTTAGACTCTACAATCTGTGAAGCTAAATAGCCCTAACATGAATCTCATCTGTGCCATCAAACCTTAGGAGTTGTATGATAAGGTTCAAAGTCTGCAAGTGCCCTTCTATCAAGTAATTATTTCATCATTATATAATCTAACTATTAGTACAACAACTGGCTGGAGAATTATTTGCATAAAGAAGTGCTTTAGAATATCTTTAAAAATAGATTAAGGGCTTCATTTTTAAGATAGAAGCCAATACTATAGCAGCAATTATAGAAAACACTGGAAAAGACAAAGGAAGAAAAATAGACAGCAGCAAGAACTAATCCGAATGCATCGACAGCTTCAACTACTCAAAGAAGAGGCAGAGATTCCTAGGGTGGAAAAAGCAACTAAAGATCTAAATCTGTATACAAAAAAGATACCAGGCTAATAACAGCCACTAAGGGCTTTGGAAAATTTTGATTAAACATAACTTATTTATATTTATTTCTTAATTTCATAATGATTACTATAAGTTATTTCGGCATTATGGGGTTTTGGGGTTTTGGGGTTTTG